AAACAATAAATCATTGCATTCGAAAAACAATTCTGAATAGAGCTCGTACATATACTATATAATAATAAATAATAATATAGTGTTTACGGAAAGTTGTTCAAACTCGAAACACTCGTAAAAACGTTTGGAATAACGATTTTTGAGATTTTTTAATAAAACTATAGTACAACTACATATTATTATAATAATATCTATTATTACAATACAAACTTTGTGTTAGGTTAGGTTAAATCTTTGAAAATATCCCGACAAGAAATAACCCGTTCAGACTGAGGACGACAAAAGAATATTCTATATTATACACTGTAGGTACACTGAACGAGTCCGAGGTCGGTGTTTGTACACTTTTTCTTCGTCCTCTTGCAACAACTTCACATTTTCGAAATTCTCCTAAGAAATTCACTGAAAATTTAGAAAAAGACTGCATGTTTTGTATATTATTATATATTATAGCAATCACATAAACCGGACGTATTTAATGTAACAACCAAAAAAAAAAAAATTAATTAATTTGCTCCACATTTAAAAATTAATTTTGTTAATTTGTGCCACTTTTTAAAGTTATAAATTATAACCTCGCAAATGCGTGATATATAACTTGATAAAAGAGTATTATGTAATCTGCACAATTTTTTACCTTGCGGTAATTTTTTAATTTGCGTCGTTTTTCACCTTATAAAAATCCCAAGTTGTGCCACTTTAAAATAATTTATAATAAATTTTTTAAACTTACAAATATGAAATAAGGCAATATGTATATTTTAAATCATTTATCAATTATCTAAATCAAAATTCAAACGAGTAGGTAGTTTGGCAGTTCTTAAAATGTCTTTACTAAGATAAACAGTCCTTAAAAATGGTTTTACAAAAATATAAAATAGTTTAAATATATTGGATCTAGTATTTATTAGACCACCTTGTTGATGGATTAATACTAACTACTATAAATTTCTAATCACCAAATTGTCTAGAATTTTAAAATATGCTCTTTACTCTTTATAGAAGTTTATTTAAAATACCAAACATCAGACTTTACTTTGGGAATCGCCCTGTATAATGTAATATTATGATTTATTGTACGGTTACATTTATCTAATACTGCAAATACCTTTTAAAAGATATATTAGCAGGATGATAATTCCAAAGTGATGCAGTGTACCACGTCCCCATTTGTTTTATGAAATACCGTTTTTGTCCATTATAATATTATAATACCTAAAATCTAGGAATAATATACTTCAATATATTTTTGAACAAAACTTCACGAGTCGGTGTTTTATTTGAACAATGGATGTCATACTTGATACTTTCGACATAAAAATTTAATATAATATTATAATACCATAGACCTATAAAGAAATAATATAAGTCTATATTGTATAATACATATTATCTTGACACATTATTATATTGATGTATCATAATTGTAATTGGGTGTAAAAAAAAAAAACGGGTAAGTGGATGTCGCTATGCTGTACAGTAGGTTACAAGTGGGTCAATGTATAATGGATTGTATTAAACTTGAATTCAATGATATAATATCATTGTATAAGAAAAACGATTCTGAGAGGAGACGGTTTGTTAGTCTGGATTATTTATATTGTTATTATTTATTATAGCCTGTAAATTGAATTAATATTATAATTTTTTATTCGTTTCTATGGTGGTAAATAAAACATCAGAAATTAAAATCCCGTTTGTAGCGGTTTTTCGTCATTTGTCGGTAGTTTTTCCGGTGGCATTAAATAACTATTGAGAAAACGGAAAAATTACCTCCTTAAAGTACCATCTTGATCCAATTTGCTAAGAGATAGGCACTGTATGTTGGAATCGAAGCACTCCTTCAAGAAGAAATTTTGTACAAACGAACTAAAAAAATTTAAAAATAAAAAATAAACACCATTGTAAAACCACTAGCTTAGTATCTTCCTCGCTCAACTCAGAATCTAAAATTACATAAAACAATGAACCAGAGATCCGACAAAAAAACATTCTGGTTAGTGGGTAGGACAAAAAAAGTTAATCAAATTATTACCATTTTATTATTATCATAGTAGGTAATTATACTAATGTATTATATAGCTTATAAAAAGCTCTTAGTGATAAATATTAAATCTAATTGTATAGGAGACCTAGGTAATTTATCCACACATTATGCACCGGTCACGGATCTAGGAGGGGAGGGAAAAACACCCCTCTTGGGAAAGATAAGTATTTAATAATTCGCCTTCAGTGGTGTAGCCAGGTGAATTCTTTTAAGTGTGATTTTGATATGTTATTATTTATTATTAATGATATTATTTAATGGGTATTTATGTATTATTATTACTTAGTACTTAGATAGAGTCGCAGAGGGTAGGCAGTATAGAATTGCGTGTTACGGCCAAAGTTCTGCAATAGCTAAATATAGTTAAATAAATTTATTTGTACACCTTATCTAGATAAAATCATCGTATCTTTATCCTATCTAAATTAATCCCAAAATTGGTATCAAACTACCCTTGAAATACTGGGTATATGTTGGAACATTTTTTTTTCTACTATTAAAATATGTCAGACAAATTTTTTTTAAATTATTAGAATTCAACTAAATATTAATAAATTCTTATTCTTCGTATATGTATATACCTATATGGCTATATATGTAATTTTGTCAAAATTTAACCTTCAAATGGCCGTATAGATAAATCGTGTTTAAACATTTATTACGTTTTTTGGTTTCGGTATAAACAACTTATAGGTACGAGGAAACTTATTTTTATTTATTTATTGAAAGAAACAAGTTTATTGTTATATCTAATTCCTTTAAGCAGAGCCTGTCTTAATTGCAACCTAATTGCAAATTTTTGGTTGAGTAAATTAACCTTGAATTCAATTTTCAAGTTTTAGCTTTAAAAATTTAAAAAAATTTTAACTTCACAATTATTCGCAAATATTCGTGATTTTGACAAATATTGTTAAAATTTTAACTTATATATACCTATATAGAAAAAAAACTAAAAAAAACTAGTTATACAATGCATAGCAAATTATAATATAAACATTTGGTGAATATTTTAAATATCTACGGTTATAATTAAGTTTTCAACTTATATCCGTTTATAAATTACAACAAAATAAGAAAATCATTGGACGAAAAATCGTTTATCGTATATCTTATGTCATAAAACGTTTGAACGCTCATAAAAATTTAATGTGACTTTTAGGTAAACTTTTTTTTTTTGTTTAAGGTAGAAAAACTTATGGTGAATCTTGTATTACAATTTTAAACTTTTTGACCGAACGAAAAATTGTTTATCAACGATTATTGAAAAAAAACTTGGGAAAATCGAACATTCCACTCCTCCACAAATAAAAATATGCTCAAAAAGAGTCAACATATTTTGAAAATTCAACCATTTATAATGTGTATCATACTCCACTCAAAAAACTAAAACAATGTAATAGGTAGATAAAATTAAAAACTAATTTTAAATTAGGTTTGAAATAATGATAGGTATTAAATGTATTTTTAATTTATATTTATGTATAGTATGTAAATACTTCCTATGAAATAGTGTTATATAATTATATGAGGTAAAATCTGCCATACATATTACGATATGATCACTATCAAACACAATGATTAGGTACTTAAACATACAACTTAAGATATTAAAATGTTAATGTTTTCATAAGTCCCTAAATGGCTTCTAAGACTTGTACTTATTAATAATAAGGTTAATATTTAATTTTAAATGTACACGCTTATACAAACGCGTTTGTTATAAATTATGATTATTTTATAAAAGTCAATTTAAATTGTGATACAAAACTTTATTTTTAACTAATAAATAAATATAATAATGCAATAATACATCATAGTACATTACGTTTGGTACTTGGTAGGTACATAGGCTTCAAAAGTAAACATATTGTGCTGTTTTACAAAATATTGATATATTATTTTTAATTACCTAATATGAAAATTATATCTGGTCATTTTTAGAATAAAAAGATAATCAAAATAAATCAAAACTGGCCGATTTCATAACTAGGTTTTGATCATTTTACGATATTTACCCATATTGTTTGTAAAATGTCTAAAATCGTATAATTTTATGAATACCTAATAAAATAATGAAAGTACAAATATGAAATAAACTGCATATTAATGTAGCTATAAATTGTATTTTTAGGTTGAAACTCGTATTGCACACGTATTGCCCATCAATATATAATAATATACAATAATATAACAACGTCTATGTTGTGAAGATCCAACATTTACATTATGTAAATTTGATATCTCCATAATTTTAAATAATAATATTTTATAAAACGAATGCAAGTAAAAAAAAAATGATTGCCTGTTCTGCATCCAATATCATCATCGTGAATACCATTTACCGTGCTCACCCCATTTACCTCCCATCGTACGACACCGTAGTGACAATAATAATAAAGGAGCGAATGTCTGCGAGTAGATAGATATGTGGAACGGAATACATTTCAGTGGCCGAAGGTCTCCGATTTTGCAGAAACCATATCATAATATATGTAATATTACGGTTGTGCAAGCCTCGGATGAGCAGACGGACAACCGGTTCTCGGACATAAGAAGACCAAACAAAAAAAAAACACTTACCTACAGAGACAACATTTTTAATGAAATCATCATATAATACGATTTAAAACCAATTGCCTACATATTTTAATGATATGTTGAAAAAATCGTAATAAAAAAAAAAACCTTGGAACGGTTTTCGAACATTTATCGGTGGAAGGTGTTTTTTTTTCAGATGTCCATAAAAAATTCTCCCATCCCGGATTACTGGTATTTGACAATATTTTTGACCGGAGACCATCCAGCGGACTGTAGTGCCCGCGAGAGTATATATAGCAAATGCAATCGTTCAGTAAAGTATCCAGTCAATTGGTAGCTGCAGAGCTGAACAGTACCAACAGCAGGCAGCAAGGCAGAAGCAGCAGACAACAAGGCAGAAGCGACTGCAAACATTATGGCGTCCGGTGCTATGGTGAGAACCAATGAGACATTATATTTTTGTTTTATACTTATCGCATAATCATAATACTTCTATAGCTGAACGACTCGTGTTTCTAACTATATTGAAAATCTAACTAAAAATAAAAAATAACATACGATTATCTACAGGTATTCAATATTGCATTAAGTAATTTAAAAATTATAATATCACAATATAATAGAACCTATGTACCTACTTAACATAACTTTTCGTATCCGAGTATTTCTTACACTTCTACACTTATTTGTTAGTTAATAAATCTTAACATTTAAACATCGTCACCGGATTTAAAATTACCTAAATTCTTACTTTATGTAATAATAAATTCTGTACAGATACCTATTTATTTATCAAAACTTTTTCACTATTCTTCCTTTGTAATTATTATTAAAATCTGTGAGTATGAACTTTAAAAATGCAACAGTTAGAAACAAAATATTAATAACATAGGTACTAGGTGTCTAGGTACGCTAAAAATACAATACACTAATATTATATTTTTGAATGTTTAAACTTATCATTTTATTCAGTTGTTAATATTGTAATATTATGTTTGATATACTGATTTCATTCGTATTTATGACATGATTATAACTTAAAGATACATACAAATTATAAGCTTTTAAAATTATTAATTAATAATTATAAAAAATATAAAAACTATTCACAATATTATAAATTGCACTTGAATAGAAATAACTAAAAGTATTTATTAATTATGTGGGTATATACTTATTGTTAGGACAAAACAAGAATAAAAATTACTACAAACACTATATTTTACACAAATATATTTAATATTATTATGAAATGCTTTAAATTATATTATTTGGTTATTAGTTGAAAATGTTGAAACGTTTAAAAAGTTATAATATATACTGTTTTGGATTTATTGTAATTTATTATAATAAATTATGCTCTTAATGATTATATTGGGTTAGTATAACTATAAATAGAATAACTGTAGTTGTACACAAAATTATATTATATTTCAATAATTTTTTCTGAAATAATTCAAATTATATTAAAAATAAATGAATTCTTTGTCATCTAAAGCCTCAAAATCTACTGAACTGTTTTCAATAAAATGTATATCAATAGATTCCCTGAGACTCGGAGAGAGTTATAGCTTCATTTTTAACCCATATACTTCGGTATAGGATGGATCACGCCTAACATATGAATTTTGTTTTGGCTCGCGAAAATCGAATATTTTTTTTGTTTATATGTAGCCATGTATTTTGTCATTTAGGCTAATTAAGCTATTCTATATAAATGAAAAATTGAGTAACAGCTTTTATATACAAGTTGCAAGGTGTGGCTGAGGCTTATAAAACCAAAAATATTCGACCGATTTTGACGATTCAAGGAAAGTTTAGATTATAGATTGAATAAATTATTTTAGGGTGGCATATCCGCTTTTAATAATATTAAAATCATAATCACATATTTGAAAAAGTTTTTTTTTCTCAGATTTTTTCTATCCACACAGGTGGATTGTCCACCTCAGTTTTATATTTTATTATACAGAAATAATTATTAATAAATGATTTTAATCATCGTTTCTTTTTTTTCAGATCCAAGTAGCTTTTCTAGGACTCCTAGTTGTGTCCACCGCGTTTGCGGAAGTCAAGCCGGTAAATAAGAACGACAAGAAAAGGGACACCTTATTCAATCCATCATCATTCTCATTCGGTACCAACACTTTTGGCTCGTCAACTCCAGCTCCGTTCGCTTTTGGCAGCTCGTTCTCGTCCACTGCTGCACCATTCAAATCCGTTTCTTACAGCTCCACACCAGCTCCGTTCGCATTCGGTAACTCTTTTGCGTCAAATGCTTACTCCAACGCCGCAGCAGCTCAATCTTTCGATGCAGCATCATTCATTGGATCTTCCACACCTGCTCCATTCTACGATGGATCTTTCGGCTCTTCCTCCCCAGCTGCTCTAATTGGTTCGTCTACACCAGCTGCTCTAATTGGTTCGTCTACACCAGCACCTTTCGTATCTGGTGCCGCACTATCGGACGCAAGCTTTGCATATTCTTCCACCCCGGCTTCAATTTTGGCAGGTGGAGCTTCGCCTGTTGTTTCGTCTAACCCAGAAGCGGTTCTTTTAAATAGGTCACCGGCTTTTGCTACGTCATATGGTTCATACTATTCAGGTTTTGCCCCATCTTACTCTCAAGGAACCATCATCAAGTCTGACTCGATTAGCCGCGATGCTGTTGAAGTTCCAGCCGTAGCTAACGCCCCTGCTCCCCACCATGAAATTACCATCCATAAGGAAGTTCCAGTTCCATACTACGTCCAAGTTGAAAAGAGAGTGCCATACCCCGTCTACGTTCGTGTACCACACCCATACACGGTCACTGTAGAAAAACACGTGCCATACGCAGTACAAGTTAATGTAGACCGTCCAATTAACGTTCCTCAGCCATACCCAGTCGAAGTTGAGAAGAGAGTGCCGTACCCAGTTGAAAAGCCAGTACCTTATGAAGTGAAAGTCCCAGTCGACAGGCCATACGCAGTTCCTGTTCCAGTCGAGAAACCCGTCCCATACGCAGTTGAAAAACCCGTGCCTTACCCAGTAAGAGTAAATGTCGACAGACCTTACCCCGTGGAAAAACCAGTGCCATACCCAGTTGCTGTCGAAAAGCCAGTGCCATATGCCGTAGAAAAAAAAGTGCCATACCCAGTAGAAAAATTAGTCCCATATGCAGTTGAAAAGAGGGTTCCCTATCCAGTAAGATACGAAGTTCCAGTTAATGTTCCAGTTCCAGTAGAAGTTAAAGTTCCAGTATCCGTGGACAGGCCCGTCCCATATCCAGTAGAAAAGAGAGTTCCATACCCAGTTCAAGTTCCAGTTGAAGTTAAGGTCCCAGTCCAGGTTGCAGCTCCAGCTCAACGTTTCGCCACTGTCCACTATTATCAACAATCACCGGTCGCTTTAGGATATGAATCCAGTCAAGCTCTCATTGGCCAATCTGGTTACAAAGCGTTCTCATCTGGTTTGGCTCAAGGTTCCGGAAGTGCATTCTACAGCTCTATCCCATCGTCTGGCAGTGCATTCTACAACTCTGTTCCATCATCTGACAGTGCATTCTACAGCTCTACCCCAGCGTCTGGAAGTGCATTATTCGGCTCTACAGCTAGCCCAATAAGCTCATACAGCTCTACCGCAAGCCCAATAAGCACATACAGCTCAACTGCCAGCCCGGCTGGTTTCTTCGGCTCAAACGTGGTCCAAGATGGTTTTTCTGCTTCATCCGCGGCTCCATTCAGTTTCGGCCAACAATCTTTCTTCGGATCTTCGACACCAGCTCCATTCAAAACTTTCTCCGCTGATTCAGCATCATCAGATGCATCATCTCTATTCAAGTCCGCTAGCATTGGATCTGAAAGTCAAGAGGCAGTCGCCATTGGAGGTGCATCTTTGAAGTCACAGGAGTTGAAAGCTGACAACATTGACGTTATCAAGAAATAGATTGTCGAAAACTTGAGTTTATCTGATATGGAGTTTTCATTATTTTTTATGTCCACTAAATAATGGGAAAATGTTCTATATATTTTTGTTTATAAATGATTTATTTTATTTAGCATATAAATAATTTTTAATTAATCATCTGTAATATTATAAAAATATAGTATTATATTGATTCATTCATATATAGTTATGTTTGCTGTCTTTTATTCACCTTTTATTATTTATGTGTATATACAATATACTTAAAATATAAATGGATGCAAATACAATAAACTTAAATAATCTTAAAACAAATATAATTATAATTTACTAGTACATTAGTAACAGCTACTTACAGCAGTATTGCTATAAGTAACCACTATAACCACCCTCAAAATAAAAGTTTAAACACTTTCTTCTTAACTAAAAGATTGTTCAGTGCTTTTATAGATTTTCTAATGATTTATTTATTTCCTGTTTGTTTTTTATTTTTGACAGATTTTGAACCGGTATAAAGTCATCTGTTATAATATGTATTTCGCTAGATTATAATAATTTAAAATTTTATATATTTTATAGGTACTTGGGTACTAACGAAAAAATATCTAAACATATAAAAATATTTATTTTTATCAGTTTTTAAAATATCAAGTAGGTTATGTATTAGCTAGTATGTTAGTACTTGCCTATGAACTATAGCCTATATAGATGTATATAATGATCTATATATAATGTATTAATATGTGCACTGAGCCCTTTTCACCGAACGTTTTTATTATTTACTTGTTCTAAGTAATAATATGTACTGTGCTGACAACCAGGGATGACATTTTGCTCTATATATCAGTAATGCATTAATAGTTATAATATTTTAATGATATTTTGCACATCTGTCGAGTAAAATTCACAGAAGTTCAATTTTATTAACGTCGATGTAATCCTATTATTATTATTAATTTAATATTTAACCGACAGCTCAGCTGGTTAAGTTCAAACCGATTAGTTGGAGTTAGAATATTTTGAACTTTAATTTAACAATCGTTGTTGCAGATGAACTCTTGCACACAGGGGCCAATACGCGATGACCTTTTATGCTATAAAACAGTTTTATGGTTATGTATGGTAATGTGGTATCATGAAGACTTGAATGTCTAAAATTATAAGTATGCAAACATTAAAACGTAATTTTAAAGTTGTAGAAATCATAAAAATGCATGTTTTTACTTTAGGGAAAAATCATTTTTTTTTATTGTTGGAAAACGTAGTGATTAAGACAAAGACACTAATGTACTACCATAGAACAATGGTACTACTCTACCTCTCTCTCCACCCCCCACAAAATACCTGCCTCCATGAAAATATATTTCTACATATCTTCCTCCTATATCTCCTTATTGTGTTGAAATGAATTCTCTAATGTGTAAATATTCAGCTTCAAGTATCTTGGAACTTTGTACATCCTTTGGTGGTTTTTTGGCCAAGTGATGAGTGATGACAAGTTTGTTTTATATAATATCATGAGTGGTCTTTGTATAATGTTCGAATAAACCATACGTTTCTGCAATAAACGATAATATAATGCGTCCACACTGGGTTCTAAGTCTTTAACCTATTAATTATTACAAAAATATACCCATAATGGCATATTATATACAATCTTTATATAGGTTATTATGTTTTTTTCTAAATCGTCAAAAGCCTTATGAGTAGCCCACGTACTGATGTTTTAAATTTTTTTTCACTCTTTCCCCCTCCCCTAGTATTGAGCACTGATAAACCACCTAAAACGAATAAGGCACTCTTATTTAAAAAAAATTAAAAATAAGAATAATAAAATATAAAATAAATCAGACCAATTAATTGTATCATTAAACTATATACTATAAAGTAGGTACTTACTTAAACAGTAAATAATTTGTACATTTTTGGGTTTTAATACCTATTAAAATAAAAAGCTAAATAGTTTTGTCACATTATCTATAGGTAATGTGATTTTAATATTGATAGTTTGAGCGAAGCAATACATTTTTTATTGCATTTTAAGGAGTTAGCCCCCCAGTAATAGTATTAGATTTCCACCTATAAGTATAATACTTAACAACATTAATTGTTCGTTAATCGCTAAACCATTAATAATCAAATGATGTACAATAGATCCATAGTTGGTGAATTTTTCATTTTTAAACCGATGTTTCAATTCGTGTTTTAATCATAACAACCCTAAATAAACCTAACTACCTAAGAATCAAATAATAATAATCATTAATTATTAATTGGTGGACATAGCAGTTATTGGCAACTATACCTATATTCCTATGTACCTATTACAATATTTTAAAATGTTTATTTAGATGATTATCATTTATATCAGTATTCAACTGACTTTAGAAATAATTAGAATATTGACGTGTTACGTAGGTTCAAAACGAAACGTAAAATTACCGACTAATATAGGTAGGTATATTCTATCATATAGCACATCACACGCTGAACTATTAGATACCTACATAACAATGTTTAACAATGCTTCTTAACAGTTTATATGAAAAAGATACTTTTCATAAAAAATAAATAGATATGTTTGTGTACATAGGCATCACTAAGGGGTGTCGAGGGTTACTTTAACTAAATGGAAGATTTTTTGTAGATAATTATATTTTGCCACCACAGAATTTCGACTAAAAGACGCTCATGTTTGTATATCACAACAGGACATTCCTTTGGGTTTAGGTAGTAGGTACTTCCTAACCTAACCTTAATTGGCTTCAATTATATAAGTATTTGAAAATATAGTAAACTATAGAGTATCTTAAGTAAACTCAAGAGAAATCTCGCATTAGATTTTTAAGCATCAGGTGAATAAAATAAATAATTTTCTATAAAATACTTCAAAATAATTTACAAATTTGCATTACTGATCATTTTCGTATAAATTAGAATGCTTATAAAAAAATTTCCAAAATGTATTTTCGTGAAACCTTGTATTAGTTTTTTATTCTCAAACAAATATTACATAAAAAAAAAACCAAAACTAGTAGAAAATTTCAAATAATTATAATGAATAGGACAAAAAGAGACAATATATTTTGAAATTCGTATCATATCTGGTAAAAATGCTAATATAAATCTGGAGCTTGAGTCAAAAAGGGCTAATCTCACTTTTTGGTGAAAATAAGTTACATGGCCAATCTTATAAAACTATATACGTTTTTTCTAGTGGTAAAAGGGCGTATATCAATAATCATTAGCGAGAGATATGAGAAGGCCAATGTCATGAAAATTACAAAATCTATGGAGCATATGTGAACATTGGCCCCTTTTTGTTTAAATAAAATAAAATTAAATTAAAAGTGAGATTGGCCCTTTTTGACTCAAGCCCCAGAAATATTTAGAGAAAATTTCAAGTCTCTGCAGCTATACATTTTTAAATTATAACAAAGACAAACAAAACCAAATTTGGCAACAACTGATTTTGTGTAAAAATTTGCTTATTTTTTTGATTTTGTTTGTTTATTTATTTTGAAAAGCAGTGGCTTTTTTTTTTTATTTTAACCCCCATGAAAAGTATCAATTATAATTCCATTTTCTACCAAAGTTTTGAATATCAAATTTTTACTGTTCCTAAAGGTGACGTCAGATGCACAAAATCGAAACAAAAACAAAATTGTAAATCCAATACAAAGTCAATATACGAGTGTAATCATTATATTATATAGCCATTAAATTATGAGATCGGTTTCAAGTGTGTAAATATAGATATTCTATACATCATAACAGACATAATTACATATTATAATATGTAGGTAGGTATATTAAAATATCAAATATGTGACGCAAGTGTGTATGATATATACATTAAGTATACATGCAACCATATAGGTATATAAACGTTCTATTCGCAAGAAATGTTACACTCTAAACAGTCTAAACAATATAATGGCAATAATATATTATTAAAGTGAAACTTAATAATATAAATTGTCGGGCTGTGTCGCGGTTCCTATACTCTTTAAGGGCGTAATTCTGTTTCGGTCGTAACGATATTATTATTATGGCCACATGTTATTATAATAATGTCTCTACTGCAGCAGTCCTGCCTTGAAGAGACCGACCGGCGCACGCTCGTCGTGTATTATAACATAAGACCGATCACCACCGACCAAGGTCTCTCGGCGACGACGGAAAATAAAATACAGGATGTTTCACCAAGCATACTAAACCCCTTTTTTCTCCGATAATGCAGTTATTAAATCTGATCATTAAATCATTCTTAAATATACTTGATAACCTTATTTTCAAATTATTGAGAGTTTTTTTGTACTACCCAAGGAGTGCCCTACCTGTGGTCTATCAAGATACAAACTTCTGTTTTTCAAATGAGAACGCGTCTTTTGTGCTGTAAATTATTTTGCCGATAATTATTCTGAAAATGTTGAAGTATCAGAACCAAAATTCGAACGAGTAGTTTTTGAACTATTTAACTCTAGATACCTACTAAGGATATAATATAGATTCATGATAATGGGTATTGACGATATGGGGCTGTGGCGATTTTAATATCTTAGTTATTGATATTAATCTTTCAGTATTTATAGTTTGAAAAAATGGTTCAAGTATAATATTATTATATTATACTAGATACAATATCATATCTATTTACTTTAAATTTTTGTAATACCATTAAGGACTATTATCCTAATTCCTTAGTATAAACATTTTAATAACTAAAAAACTAATCGTTCAAATTTTTAATTATAAGTAGGTAGGTACATTATCATTTTCAAAAAAATTATCCACTAAATAATTTTGCAGTTAAAAAAGGGTGGTTTGGGTTTGAAAAACAGTCATTCCAATCACCACAGGAAATTCCTTGAGTAGTATAAAATATCTTGAGAATTTTACAATGTGGTCTTTAAATATATTTGAAAATTCTGAAAATTCGAATTTTAATAAATTCATTATCACAGAAAAAAATCATGGTAAGTATGCTTGATGATTCACCCTGTATATATATTTGATAT